CTCGGAATGGGCTCAAAATGCAGCTATTTTGGCACGCGTGTACGCAACATAGTTGACCAATGAAACGCGCGACTGGGGTTGTCTTCCGTAGGATATCTCTACTTAGTGTACCACTTGATTCACAATACACCAGCGGTGGTTCTCATCGTCATTCACATTTGGTCAATTTTATTCAAAGTTTGGTTCGAAAATCATTTATCGATATGCAATCAATCTTACTGTTTGTTTTAAGTGTTGTCCCGTATCATTTTTCATGCCACCACTGGCACCTAACAAAATGGAGGAAAGAATGCGGTATTGCAATGTAACATTATATGTGATTCAATTAGAACTCGCTATCACTCTTAACTCATAACTTTGGTGTCCAGGTTCGAACCCAAATAAGACAAGCATCAAAAACCAGATGGAATAACTTTCATTGCATAACCGGGGATGAGTTACTTCTCTTCGTACTTGCAAGTTCATTCACGTTTTACTGATAAAAAAAGTATACACTGAATTGGATTTGAGATCACTTTCCTGACTCATTAAAATAAGAGTCGAGTTCTGTTATTAAAAATCGAAGCTAATGGACGAGTACTGATCAGCTGTTGTACACCACAAACTTTGTCAATCACTCCTCCACTTCTATTTTTGTACGCAACGTGAACTAGGTTTTGGGATTCAAGCCGTCACAGCAGTTTGTAAACTATCCATCGAAAGGCTTGAAAAATTTCGAGATTCGCGTGGTCTTCCGTGAAAACCTCATTAATTTTGAATTAAATAAGGTGATGATAATAAAAATAAACAACTATTGCTGGTACGTTTGCTAGGGGGTGTGAAAGATGAGATTATATCTTTTAGTTTCCCATATTCTGAGCTTCACTACCCTGTCAGGAAAAGGAGGAGGAGGAGTAGGGTACGGCCCCAGGAATTTATGAGTACAAATAAATCAATAATCTTGCAGACCTGGTGGTTTCGGGCTTTCTTGCACCAAACCATCGAATTTACTGTTCCAATCTGTTTAAATTGACAATTTTATCCAGTTTTCGTCAGCTCTGTTTCAGATATTGGGCGTTACGTCCTAATATGTGGTTCCCAGTCTAACGTCTCCTTGAAGCATGCGACTACTGAAATTATTGATCCTTGTCAATGTTTCACAGACTAAGGGATTATTGAAAGCCATCGAAACGTGTAACACGAATATCCTCGATCTGTTTAAAGCTCAACGCATTCGACACAAAGACGCTACAGATAACCCTCGGGATCTCAGCGAATCGGGACGGTTCGAGGCCTCACGGACTCATCGTACGGCAAGGGTAATTGCGTACGTAAAACAGGTCCACAAAGCAAACCTTCAATAGCATAATGACCCGATATCTGTCACCAAGTCGATCTAGCCACACCTAAACTTTGATGTAAAACTGTGAAACCTGTATGTAATATCCGAGTCACAGGAAAATTGTGAACCAAGAACTCAAAGTTTGATAACTAAGTTGATTTGAACTGACCATCATCCTCAGTTTCCGCAATCAACCAAAACCCCAGAACTACCAGGATCGAGTTTCGCTCTTATTATGGCCACATCATCAGCGGTGCATATCTACCGTCCTGTCCGGATGTAATACTCCGGACCGATTGTCTGTCTGTATTGCCACTGTTCATCGGCTTACATCGAGGCTGAATCGCATTACCGATTCATGTTTTATGGTCAGTCAGTTCACGTTTGGCCCGACAACAATGAGCGGAGATACGGTTGACTATCTGTTAACTCCAATCGAAAGCCTCCCATCAAATCACATCTTCCATGCAGGTTATGGGCTGACTTGCCACCATAAACCTACTAGGTTGAGTGTATATAGTTGTCTGGAAGAACTGACGATTGTGTTTTTCAATTTCACACTTGTCTGAGGCCAGACTGTGTGTGCCAAACAAATCATGGTACAATATTTTTTGTTAAAAAGAAAAATACGTTCCTTGATCGGTTTGTGGGCTGAATACGGTCAGGTTGCCCAGACCAAGGCAGGTGAATTTGTTTGGGGGAATCCACAACCGGAGCCTTTGACGATTGTGACTCAAGGTGAAGTTGGACAGATGGTCAGATAAAGTCATTATCGGTTATCCCACACTTCTACTCACCAGAAACTGTGAGTCAAACGTGAATGATAAATAAATGCCCTAATTCTCATTTATCACCCCCCCACCCACGTGTATGTCTATTTATATTTTTTCAAATACTATTCTCCGTAAGACGTTCCATCTTTCCTCGAAAAATCGACAGTTAGCACCTGAAGATGTCAATCGGCCCGCATACAGTGACGCGAATCGATCAACAGTTGAATAACTTCTGCTTTTTGAAAAGAAAAAGGAGATTGGTACACAACAACCGGATACACACCCCCAATGCGTCCGTTTTCATTTCGTCCTGGACAAACAACAATCGTTGATTTATAATTTAACCTATGCATCCTCTTCCTATTAAATCTGGTCTAACCATAGCGTACAGACGGAATTTGTACATTAAGTAATTCAAACGACGCGCTTATTTCAGTGACAGTCACGTGTCGGCCAACTGCTTGGTTTTTGCAGGGAATTTTGAATGGAACACCATTATACGGTCTGGGCAGGTTGGTTTGCGAATAGTTTCGTTGATTATCTTTGTTTGATTTAATTTCCGATTTTTTTTTCAATTGTTATACAATTATTGCTATCTGCACCGATTCAAGTTACCCTGGATGAGGCATATCGTGATGTGTCTCCACGTGTTCACCGTCGATTTTATCCCAAACACACCAGATGGACTGTTTGCTGTCAAGATTCAGTTAGGTTTTGTTTTTTAAGTTTATATAGGCATTTTGAATACTTTTTTGAAGGTTGTTAAGGCATAGAAACTGAAAATATGAAGAAGAAAACAGCGGGAACTGTTTTATTTTTCTGCAGATGCTCGCTGAAGTTAGTCATCAACAGAAATGAAAATATTGAATGCCTTGGGTACCGTGGTTGGGTAGCTTGTGCGTTATTAATAATGTATTTATCGTGCGGTAGTTGACCACTAACCACTACAAGCATCGGACTTTGTTTCTTGGCTGATAATGGTAGAGGAACACATCGCTCAATACCCGTTAGCTTTGTAGGCCTCTTGTAAGTAAACGCCTTTTTACAAACCTAACAATACCTCCGATAGAAAGGGTTCATCGAAATCTGACTGTATCTAAGTAGAATAGGGTATGTTGCAAGAATTGGAAAGTAGAATAAAACTCATAGTAAAAAGTAGAGGCTGTTGTTAAAAGATGCGCATTCATCGATTTTGGTTGAGAATAAACTCAAATTTTGGGTTTCGAGCAATGGTCCTCATCTGTGTGTGTGTGTGTGTGTGTGTGTGTGCGACACCAGGCTGTTGCAAGCTCATGAACACGAAATAAAGATTACAACCAATGTGTCACCGAGGACAACGCAGTCCTGAAAGTCAGATAAGTTTTAAACCGGTATGCTTGATGATTACCTTTATGGCTGTTCGATAGAGATCGCTATGCTTGCTCAGTGTGAATAATTGACGACCAGCAAATTCTCGGGGGAAAATGCGAAAAATAATGAATTTCGGAAATTTCAGACGACATTGCTTCCCTTTGAGGATATCTGTCGGTCTTATTCACTTTCACACACACACACAACTCCTCAACTGGCACACGCGCTTGAATTTTCGTTATTTAAACTTAATTCGCTTCCCATTATCTGTCATACTGTTGTTCACGCACGGGACAAATTTTCATTTTCTCTGCCCGCCTTACCCAGGTATTTGTTCGCATTGCAAATCAAACGTGATTTGGTCAGTGGAACGCTGCTGTGCAGCGAGAACACAGCAGCCCTTCTTGCTTCATACATTGTTCAAGGTCAGAGTTCACATTCGAGCTGTGCTGAGAGATGTGTGATTTTGTGAATTGGTTCAAGTCGGTATGAATGTAATACTATCGACGTTTCCTCATTCAGTCCATCTTGACAGATGTGATTATTGTTAGACATTTCTTTTGGAACAGTCTCGCATACGCGTAATGTGACTGAAGAAGCTTTTTATTCAGTTATCTTCATTTTTATCGTCCGTATAAATGGTATCAAAGGTGTAGGGGTCGCATGCCTTTTCTACTTCCTCCATTGTGCTGATCTTTTGGGAGCAAACTGCAAATGGGTTGTGAAACCACCACTCTTTTTATCCGGGACCGAGCCAACACCGTATCATTCTGTGGACCTATCAGCCAGAAACTGCTTTCTTATCGGCAGTTGTAACCATCATGCATCATGAACTTCAGCAATGAATCACTGCCTCTATGGTAAATAGTTCTAATCAAGTTTGAGGTGAAATTGATCCTGGAAATCTTGAAGTTCTGATTTCGAACTGATGCTCACGAAATCCGGATAGGCCGGGAGCACAGTAATAGTAAATCGGGCCATTTGTAACTCACCTCTTTGCCTCAGTCGGACAAAATGTCATTCACACAATCGATGCTTATCGTTGAGCTAAGGTTCAATTCAGTTCAGTTTACAAAACCACTAATCATGCACTATCGTGCGCTCGCTTTAGTTGCTGTGCTCTGGCTGCCCATGTGGATGAACAATAGGAGGGAGACAGAAAAGTTGAATGTGGAGTCGAACAGAAAGTGGAAAATTTCAGTGGTCTAAGGTTGTAAAGAAATTGAAAAGGTGCACGAATGCCACAGTTTACGACACAGCCACATCGCTCGGTGTCTCTAACCACCGGTTACGATCATCCCGAGGTCCCCAGCCAGGGAGCCTAACAGTACCTATGCTACCCAGTCCATTGGTTTGTGTTTTCATGTTGAGCTTGGGTGGATTACATTCCTGCTGAGTAATCACTTATGAGAGAGACTCGAGCAGGAAATTACATTTGTTCTTACCTACTCACTATCAACTTACTATTACTGGTTCCTTGGGGCGATAACTCAGCGTCCGGAATATCTCTGCTCGTCACTCTTCCGGCGCTTCACTGCAAGGTTCTCCTATCTAAACGTTGGTTCCCTCTGTTTTCCATCGACAGGTTTAGTTCATCATAGGAAGGTTTATAGGATTTAGACATTTTGATAGAGTATCCTATCGTCGGGCATTGTGTACGTACATTGAGGGCCAAGCGATAAGTTAGGGGTTTCTATGGCTCGTTGTGGATATTCTGTTTGACCAGTTGAATTTCAAGATTGATCGGATTGATCTGATCAATTGTTTCATCTCCTCAGCTCTCAACGGCTAGATGTCATCACCGTAAAGTAAGAGTAAACCGACTACTGCGGAAAGCACCTTCAGACCGATCTTGTTCAGACACCAGACGGTTGTTCAGATCGAGTGAACGTCGTTCAGACCGCACCCATGCACTACCTCCCGAAATAGTTCGACTACTCAGCTTTAGCGAAGAATTTAATTGACCAGCTGTTGTCACTAACATTTTAGTACTTTAATATGACTGGCTCCTTGGAAAGAATAAGCAGGTTCCATGAATGTCTCTGATTGCCGCCGTAGAAGACATAATCATTGGGCTTATGCGGCTTTTAGACAGGACCCAGGTAATCTACCTGAAACCCACCACACCCGGGGAGTGCCGCTACTGTTTGTTCGCGACTGCCTATTCTCTGCGATATGCCAAAACTTTTCACAGCTAAACTTCTTCGGTGAAGGTATCCCCCTATCCACAACCCGGGGACGCTCTGCTTAACCCGAGTGTATCCAGGTAACCCAAAGGTATCCAGTACTGTTGAGGTTGACCTCTATGCGGATCCTTGCAGCGTATCGTTTGGTGTCTCTAATGACCCCGGTCTCGCAAAATACCATGTTCTTTTGTGTTGTTGAAACAGACAGAAAAATAGGAAAACGATGTATTGCTGCCTTGTCTTGACGAGGATAAAACAATTATACAACTCTTTTAACAATGATACTATTATAATGCAAAGGGAACGCAGTTAAATGTGGAGGATACAAGTCGCTGATCACGGATGAAACTCGCCGAACAACATAAACAAAAGCGTATTGCTCACGGCCTACTGTCAGTGAACCCTTCATAGATCAAATCAACAACAGCATGCTAAACTGGAAGGGAGTAACGGAAAATTTACTCAAATACTTGCTTTATATTTATTGTTTTACTTACCTAAATTTGCTTACTCTAGACAACATCGGAAAGAGTGTGCTTGGTAAATTTGCTTACAGATACATATATCTAGATTGTTTCATTCTACCTTCCTTGTGCTTTGAGCCATAACAATCTAGCAATTATCATCAGTTTCATCCCCCGGTTGACCATCATCGTCATCAATACAGTCCTCATGATGCATGGAACAGTGTAGAAAAACAGTGGAATATACAATGCGAGTGTTAAGCAGACTTGAACCCATTTAACTCGAATATAGGTTGTGCAGTGAACTCGTCGACGCGTCCATGCATGTGTGGGTATGCAAGAATTTTCTCAAGAGGTTTAACATGAACTGTCAATCAAATGTGTCCGTATATTACATCACAGCATTTCACTTCTATTACAGCTGAAATCGGAGACTTTATCGAGGACGAGTATCGATCCATCGATTATCTAAGGTCCCTCAAACTTTTACACGAACCGACCGAGGTACGGCTTCGACGAATCATGGAATTTCACAAGGCTCACATGTAAGTTTCCGCCATCACCCTCCCCCCGGACCATGTGTGGGATTCGTGTTTTAGTGAAACTCATCTCTTATCTTCACCTAACAGCCTGCCGTTGTCCAATATTGTTCAAACTCTCCAAAGTACCTAAATGTTTAGGGAAAATAAAAAAATTGGAAACTTAAATTGGGGGCAACAAAATTTACATTGCTTGATTCAATTATCGAGCATTTTTTTATTTCCCATTCACCCACTCCCTCTCACGACTGACTAATTTGTACATTGGAGCACTACTGTATTCCATTCCCAAAGTGCTCAACCACCAGGCTCCATGAAATGCATGCAACTCGAAGGGAAACCGCTTTTTATTTATACATGCGCGATATAGGCCGAACTGGAAGACTTTCTTGCTCCATGACTAGTTCAGTTTACCGAGCTGATATTGTGTGAAATCAGCTGGAGTCAATTTAGTGCATGTTGATGAGTAAATCAAATAAATGAGAATGGGAAAAAATAAAGAGGCCTAGAAACTTTAATCTATATCTAAAACACGTTTTCCAAAATGATAGTTCCAATTCAATACGACATGGAAATTGTCACCGAATTATTCTCATGTTGCGGATGAGTTTTATTTTTGTTACACACCTAAGTGTGAGGAACAACACATAGTCATGGGGACCTGCTGTTCCGTGATGGAAAACGGTAATCGAAGTTCTGGGACTTGAAGTGGCGAACCACATAAAGCTCCACTAGATTATGTATGGTATTAATTGATTTCCCTGTCAAAGTCGCGTAATCTTCTTGCAACAGTCGATCTATAGCCCTGACTGGATACAGTATACCGGTTTGAAACCGGTTTAGTTTGGATTCAGGACAGCAAATCAGCCCAGGAACAAGCAGGTGATCACTGAATGAACGAATTACCTAATCCGAATAACAGTGAGCAGACATAATTGGACAATGAGATCGAAGTTGCTCAAGCAGTCATTAACGGGTCTCAAATAGACCCATAAAATCGTGTTACACTGACGGTTGTCGCTTTTCGCAATTTGCACTGATGATTTCATTTAGCTCGACCAAGGAAGAAAGAAATGTAAACAACATTGCCAACTCGGGAAACCCTCCTCGCTGACTGAATAACTGAAATCGAAGGTTAATAGATACCAATTCCTGGAAGATCCATTTGTTTCACTGGAAAGCTTGGATACAATCGTTTTGGGGTCAAAAGAAATGATTGAACAGAAGTTGTCTCCAGACCAGGGTATTTTTGAACAGAAACCCCCTGAAAAATCGATTCAATTCTTCCGATTATCCAAAGATGAAAAGACTATAAACAGGCTTAGCTTTTGACGGACTGGGGTACCCTATATCAACCTAGAGGACCATACTTGAAATAGCATTGGCATCCTGATGCATATCTACCACAAACTGAGAGAAAAGAACAACAGAGTCGATTCAGTGAGGACCACAGTCATCTTCACTAGAAATGCAAGATACGTTAATATATTCTTTACTTCGCTCACGCGTGGAAAGTGGACGGTAAGACAAGTCCTTTGGATTTCAACGGTCCACACCACACCATGTAAACTATCAATTGTCACACTCAAGGCCATTACATCCAGGCCAATACATCGTAATCCCTCCATCGTCCCTTCCCCACGCAAGATTTTAGCATACATTGGGATACGGCAGCCTGTAGATGAAACATCGCAACCGGGAATGTTCGCTGCTATGTTTTTGTCTTACCGTGTGCAATGATCGAACCATGGCATCCGTTTGCTGACCTCTTGGCAATCGCATTTAATTGAAGCTGCTGATGCTGTTTGCCAGTCATTACGGGAATAGGTCCCGAGTTTTGAATGACTTCATCGCGACTTGCATATCCGGCGTCTGTCTGCTGTCGGTTTGATTCACTGATTTACCGGATGTTACGACCCATTATCCATTTTACGAGTTTCAGTTATTTCAGGTCTTATCCTGTCCTCAAAAATCTTTTCCTCTTTTCAAGCTGGCAATATTCCCGTTTCCTACAGATTCCCTCCCGTCCGGCATCTCGGCTAATCATGAGTCAGTTATATTCCCTGATTAAACAAATGCCTATTCTCATCCTTTCGCAAAATAGTTTGAATAGAGGGATTTGGAACTGATGTTGACCTCGCTCTGCCACCTCTGGTTTATTGATCTTTACCAGCTTACTTTCAATGGTCAAAACATTCGCAGAACCGATGCTGTCAAGCATACTTTTCTTATAAGCAATCCCTAATATGAAAACGTTTTTTTACCGGCGTTTGTAGATAATCGCTTCGCACATTCCGACTTCGAATTCGTGCTGTTCCCCCTCCACAACGTCTGTCATTCCATTGGTGATTGTATTATTTCTCTTTGTATTGTTTGCTTGAATGGTTTCACGCAAGACACTGAACATAACACAATGTGAAGAAAACTAGCTCAATTTCGGTTATTTCGTAATTAAGCAGATATATAACATCAGGATGGAGGATGACAAAATACAATCCAGATCGGAATGATTAGGACTGTACTCTGTCACCCCCACCTTTTGTTGGTTATTATATTTACTGTTATATATATATATATATATGTTAATGCGATTACAAACTTGTTCGCCATTTTATGTCGTTCTTTCTATCAAATACCATGATTTCCCTGTGAGATCCAATGCAGTATTCCGTACGTACCTCTCTCGTTTACCGTAGTGTCATTTTTCACTGTTTTCCGTCACTTCATTCCCAAATCCCCTAATGAATCCCCCGACATTACCTGACCGTTTCTTATAACAGTTCGTGGTTTCTTCACATCCATGCTGAAATGAGACTATAAATGTCTGGGCTCCCTCGGCCTTTGAAGTTTTTTCTCCCTCCGATTAGTAGAAATGCATCGACCGAGGAAAGTTGGTAAGAAAGACTTCGTTGAGGATNGGCTCAATGAAATCACAAAAGCCAAATGATCTCATGGCAACACTTAGTCCCGTGAAAAAAACGGAGGAATCGTGTTCTGGTGAATGGAATCACATTTCGCTTGCCACACATAGGACAGCATCACAACGTCTTCTGAAAACCTGTCATTTCCAACAATCGATCAATCATCATGAGCCGTTTTTGCTTCCCGTAGTATATGGACTGGTTCATCACGTGTCGGCTGATGTGAAGACCCTTAGAAAAAGAGTAACCGTTGGAAGTATCACGTGAGACTATTCGCAGCACGCTGTTGACCATGCACTATTATGTACACACTGTAATCTGGACCCTGGATGGACAATGTAGTACGATTGATATTAGGTTCTCCTTGTTGAAGATTATTCTTAACTAGGCCGTCCTGACGAACTACCGGAGCAAAACTAAAAGAAGCGGCGTACAACGGTCGTTTCAGGCCTGCTTTTCATCTATTATAGTTGTCTGCCATACTAAGTTTTGAATATTGTTCGTCATTTGTGTACAGTACACACCATTTGAAGGAGATTTGGGGAGAATGTGAAACGGTTTTTGATTCCAATCCGTATTGAAAGCATGTTGAAAACTAAGGGTCACAGGACGTCAATATGCTTAAACAATGTCGCTGATTCCGACCAACATCAATCGCGTCTTTATTACCGGTTATGTCATATAGAGAACAATTGTCATTGAACTTTTTGAGAGAGAAAAAAACAGCTTGAGACGAACATAAACTCGCTCTCACTCACAGAATCAAAATTCACATTTAATCAAATCAAAATAAGAAAACGTTTTTCGCTGAGAAATTTCTTTTCGACATTTCGCATCAGGAGTTTGCAAATATAGGGTGATCATAGTGCAGATATCTGATTGGCCGATCAAAGCTCAGTTAGTAACGATGACAGAGGCGAGCAAGCGAATGTGACAAGCTTAGTGATAATCAACTTTATATAGTCGTGGACGGGGTGAGAGAACAATGGTCAAATAGAAAATGCTTAACAGATGGGCAGATGAAAATGAAGGTTGCGAGCTAAGACGAGTGAGCGGGATGATGTCACGTAGGATCCAGTGGAAACTAAATGTCATGCGTAGCAAGTGATATAACCGGGAGGTACACTGGTGACAAAAATAGAATAATTAGTTCTTAATATTGCGTTTGATGATACTGGATGAAGAGCGGGGGTTGAGGTTGGGGAGGAGGGGGGGTTGATGCTTTGTTTTATGCCCAATCAATCCACTGTGGCCAAGCCATGGCAACAACATTGTCTGGACCAGCATTTTGCTTGCCTAACTCTGGATTGAAAATGCGATTTGCGATTGCACACACACACAAACGGAAAAGGTGATACACAAAAATCACCTTCAGGTGCACGGCACTGAATGTTACCTGTAGACGGATGAACGTGATCCATTCCGGATTCACACAAGTCCATACCATACATATCCACACAAAAAATTGAAACGATTTCTTCCTGCTTTTTAAACATGCAATAAACCTGACTTCAGTTCTTCCACTGCCTGTACTTGATGTGCATTTTCATTTGGTAATTTTATTAATTTCATTTTAGTAATTGCACCTTCATAATTTTCCAAAAGGTTTTAATCCGGACTGTTAACCTAGTGATCTGATGCTTTGGTATGAAGTTTATAATCTTTGCAAATATAACATGAGTGCTTAAAAGTTTTCCGGTTGATAATATCGATTACCTTGAGGGGGAAGTTTGATCTAAAGTACACAGGTTTAGATACTACTGAGATTAGCCGACACTGATTTTCTTTGTATGAATGAACCATCGTGAAACTCCTTAACACTTTCCATGCATACCAGATTTGTTGATAATAGCGAAGGTCATGTCAAGATTGTGGAGAGTCCAGTAGCCTCAGTGGGATTCGAAAACACACACGGACGCGGTCTACGTTTTTGTACAACACACCCTCTACCAGTCAAGCTACGAGGCCATACCGATAGAACTGATCTTTTTACATTCGAATTACCCATTCACCTTACAGAAGCATATAGCATCCACTATTTTAGCGTGTAAGCTGACTGCCGCGACAGGTTCAAATCCCACCGAGGCTA